CAGCCCCCTGGCCAGCTCAGCCTGGACGGAAGTCTTACCCCCCCTCCCCCAGCCAGCTGCCCCACTTCCCCACCCTGGACGACTCAGAAAAAAAAAAGACCGCGGCGCCCCCTGGCGGCATCCTGGAACTCCTCCCTTCAGGCTTCACTCACGCACGCTCACTGGGCACTGGCCAGCCGACGTGCCTGCAGCCGTTGCGCCCTCTGCTGGCCAGATCCTATGAGACCTACAGGTCGTACCCCAGAGCTCTGCCTACAGCAGGGCCGGGGACCCCTCCTCTGCCCTTATCCTGTGTCCCTATTCCTGCATCTCTGCCTCCTCTGCTGGAAGTAAGCCTTCCTGCAGTCTAACCCCCAGACCTGCATTCCTTTCACCCTCACCCTCACTGCCCCCCGCCCTCCTGTGAACCCCCCTCATGAACCTCAGAAGTGGAATGCCAAGGCATTCACCTCTCTGGGCCCTCAGTCCCTCCTCAGCCTGAACTGGCCTAGGTCTGGCTGACTGGGCACTCAGCACTCCAGCTCCTTTCAAACATCTGGGTGCTGTCTGTCCCCCAGCCCCTGTGGGCTCCTCCATCTCATAAATACTTACTGGGCAGCTGTTCTGTATCAGGCACTGTTCTATCCCCTGACATCCTGGGGACTCCTCTGACCTTCAGAAACCAATAAACCCAGAAATGAGGCCCGGCCAACCCCCCTCTGTCTCATAGAAGCATCAAACTTGCTTGGGCTCAAATGCAGCTTTATTTCCTGCTGGGTTTACAGGTACGCCATCCGCAAACTCATTCCCTTGGAGGATTGAGAACGAGTGGGCAGAGTCCCCCCACCGGGGAATGGAGGGGACATGACAGCTGGCAAGGAGAGGGCAGTTGAGGCACTTAGGGACTGCTTGAGGCCCTGAGGGAAGAGCCGGATGCCCCGGGTCGGGGTGAAAGGGCCTAGGCTAGGCTGGAGCTGCCCAGGTTTTCCCAGAAGCCCCTCAGGCACTGTCACCTGGACTCCAGCTCCAGCCCTCTCGTGTTGTCACTGCCCATGGTGGGGCACAGGGGCAGTGCGGGGGCAGCAGTATTCAAGGCCTTGCTTCTTAGGGACCCGGAGCAGGACTGGAAGGAGGGGTCAGCAGCGCCTTCCAGCGCCCCAGTGGCCTGCCTTGACGTCCTTCTGGGGCCTTCATTGGGTGCAGAGCTCGAGACTAGGGAAGACACACACTCACCCTTCGGCCTGTGCGCCTCCTCTCTCTCTTCTCTGCCCCCTGGTGTTCTTGTGCCTTCATTCCTGACCTCATCGACACCCTTGCCCTGGCTCAGCCCTTAAGGGCCCAGAGCTTGGCGAATGTTCCGACATCAGCACTGAGGGGGACCCCAGAGCATCCGGCCTGCCTCCTCCCCTTGGCCCCAGAGAGGGACAGTGATTACTCCCAGGTCACACAGCCAGTGGCTGGCTGAACTAGGATGGGAGCCCAGGGCTACTGTGGGCTCGTTTCCCCCACCCGCCTCCTCTTGGCACTCACAGGCCTGCGGGGCACACAGGAGATCTGGGGGGGCTCCCAGCGGCCATTCTCCTGGCAGCGGATCAGTGGCAGGTTTCGCTGGGCCAGCCCCTCCCGGCACTGGTAACGAAGCACTGTGTCCACCTCATAGCGCAGTCGCGGACGGCCAAACACTTGAGCCAAGGGCAGCTCCGGTGGGGACCCACAGGACACTGTAATGGGGGGGGATACAATCAGAAACTGGGAGCCTGGCTCTATCGGTGACGGTTCCCAGGATCGGGATGAGGAGGAGAGGAGTGGGTCACAACCTGACACAAAAAAAGAGCAGGGATTCCAAGTGGACCCATCTGCTCTGTTGCCCCTCCCCGCCAGGGCCTGGGGCACAGTTCTGGCTCCTCCGTGCAGCCTGGCACCCTCCTTCGACCTCTGCCTCAGGTCCCCGATCACAAGCCCCGCCCCCTCTTCCTGGCCCGCCCTCACCCAGCCCCATCTTGCACGTGTAGGACAGGTGGTAGTTGCAGGGTACATCGCTCCATTGTCCCTGGTCATGCCACACCATGACCACGCAGTTCTCTCCGGACAGGAAGTAGCTGTCAGGTTGCCCAGGGTTCCAGTTCTCATAGAGCTGAGGGGTGGGGATGGAGGTGGTAGTGAGACACTCCAGCACAGGAGCCTGCGAGAAGTGGACCTGGAGGGACTTTGGGGGGATGGGATAATGGGACCCGGAAGAGAAGACAGAGGGGCACAAGGAAAGGGGGGGCGCAAGGAGAGGAAAAGGCATGGGAAAAGGAAGGAGCCAGAAAAAAAGGAGAGGCGGGGTTGTTGGGTCACTGGGGTTGGAGGCAGAAGTGCTTGGAAGAGAGACCTAGACAGCGCGAGGGGCGGCGGGAGCCTCTCACCAGGGGGACGCCATCTGACCACAGGAAATCGCCTTCGATGGTTCTGTCATTGAGCCCAATCCACTGGTACTCCCGGTATCGATCTGGGGAAGAACCGCAGGGGAGACGGTGTGCAGTGAGCTCCGCTGCCAGCAGATGGCGGCCGTTCCCCGGGCTCCAGCGGCCGGTGGGTGACCGCCAGGGAAGTCCTTCCCGCCACCCAAACTCCGTGCTTCCCTCCCTCCTGCACGCGGGCCGATGGAAGGCCGGGACATGGTGGGTGAGGGGAGGAGAAAAATGTCACCCGGGCTAGAAAAGGAAAACTCTAGAAAAAGGGTAAAAACGTTCAACGAGGTCGGAGTCGGGGAAAGCCGACGGAAGACCAGGGCGGTGGGAACAACTGAAGGTGGCCCCTGAGCCACCGCCAGGCTGATGCAGGTGCATTTCCTGCGCGAACCTCAGCCTTCCCCGCCTGAGGCTCCACCGCCCACGTGTGGCGTGGGAAGCAAGGCGAGAGAAGGGGGAAGTGAACGAGTGAATGAGGTAAGCCAAGTAATAAGTACCTGAATTAATGAGTAAGGGGTTAATTCATTAACACACTCGGGCTGCCTAATGAGTGAGTGAGTGTGTGTGTGTGTGTGGGGGGGTCCCCAGGGGGTCCCCTCCCGCCCGTCCCCAGCCCACTGTTGATGAAGTCCTGTTCCTCTGGCGTGCTGATGCTGGTCAGGTGCGCGCCGTACATCCGGCACTGGGTCTCCGCCTCCTCCCAGCTCCTTCGGGTAGAAAAGTGCTTGTAGCAGGCGCCCTGGAAGGCGTCCCAGCCGGGGCTGCAGAAGCGGAGGCCTGGAGCGCAGAAGGAAGGGCAGGCAACTTAGGCGGGAGGACCTCGGAACCCAGGGGTGGCCAGGTCCTCTGCAAGGGCTTTGTCTCCTCCCACACGGCAGCCCGAGGGGCGGGGCTGAGGGCAGGAGGGAGGTGCTAAAGAGCTAGTTAGAAACGAGGGGGAGGAGCCTGGAGGGGCCCTGGTGCTGGGGGGACTCCTTCCTTCCCTAAGCCTCAGGGACCAGGGTGAGGGCTGGAGTCGCGGCCTGGGTCTCTGCAATCCTCCATCCTATAGAAGAGCTAGCTGTACGCTCCTCTCTTCCCGGGAGAATGGAAGCTGACATGGATTGACTCCAAATGCGCAGTGTGCTAAGCACTCCTCCCACACCAAACCCCGGACACAGGCGGTTTTGGTTCCACTTAACAGATGAGGAAATTGAGGGTAGGGCTCAGAGAGGTTGTGGGATTTGCCAAAAATGGGGATTCATTAATGGCAAGGCCAAAACCAGTACCCTCCCTCCTCTGCAACCAGCCTGCTGTTCCAGGCTTCAGCTCACGCCCAGCCCACCCCCACCCCTCAACACACTCACCAACATCGCACAGGTGCCCCCCATAGCCAGGCAAACATAGGCAGCGGACACCTTCCTCCTCCTCCAAGCATGTCCCACCATTGTGGCAGGGGCTGGGGACACAGTCACCTGAGAGGGGGAGAGAAGTGAGGTGGGGGGAGAAGCAGGGGAGCACAGCTCTGCTGCCTGAGTCCTTCTGGGGAACGTAGAGAGTCCCCAGCCCTAACCCCCTTGTCCTGGGAGCTGTCACAGCACCCTAAAGGTTCTCCCTGGACCCTATCTCTGGTCTGAGCCGAGCCCTGAGTTTTGGGTTTCTCCCCATCCCTAGCCCGCCTCGCCACCCCCCACTTCAGCATTGGCTCAGCCCTGGGCTGGCCATTGTGACGCCCACCAGTGTGAGCCCAGCGCAACAGGGGCAGGGGAGGAGGAAGTGGCCACGCATGCCCTCAGGACCCAACCCCACTAAGGGGAAAGATACCGGGGTGTCAGTCACGAGACCTGGGCTCTGGTCTGGCTCCTAGCTCCCCTGGGTGACATTGAGCCAGTCACGTTAGCTCTCTAGGAGTTTAGTCCCCCACCCCGTGTCTCTGTGCCGGGTCCCAGCACAGTTCTGTAGAGTCAGGTGGGCTGCGTGGAAGCGGGGATGAGTCCTCACAGCATCAGTGAGCGTGGCCCGCCCTTTAAGGCTCCCGGGCCCTGATACTGGGGGGGGGGGTCCAGATGGGAGCTAGCCATTACTCCTGCTGTCCACTGGGCAGAGTCCGCCCCAGAAGCTGAGGGAAGAGCCAACACGCTTCCCTCTCTCTACGCCCTACCCCTCAGACCAGTCTCAGGAATGAAGCCGTAGGCCCCACACACTCTCTTAAAACCATCCAGCCTCTTTCTAATTTCTGCAGACGCTTTCTCCTTACCAGGCTCCCCTTTGCCCCTCCACTCGGGCCTTCTGCAGGCTCCTCAGCCTAGAAACCCCTCTGATGCATCTGATCCCCTCCGTCGGGCGCCCTCTCCTCCAGGCAGTCTTCTTAGGCTAACACATTACCCTGAGGCCTGCAATCTGCGGGGTGGATTCAGCACCACCTGGCTAGGCCATCTGCCTCCTCCTCTGGATGTTCTCTCTAGATCCTGGGGTGGGAGGGGGCTGGCTGCTCTTAGGCCAGGCCTGGGTGCTGGAGAGGCTGTCAGGTCCTACTCCTTCCTGGTCCTGACTACCCAGGGGAAGAAAACCCCACAGACTGACAGCACAGGCCGGGGCTCTCAGCCCTGGGCAGGAAACCATCTCTGGGTGGAAACCCTTCAGACCATGCCATCCACCCCAAGCAGCCGAGGCCAAAAACCCACAATGCTTCACTCTGGCCCGAGATCCCACTGCCTGGTGGGGATCAGAGCAGAGGTGGGGGAGGAAAAGCTGGAGTTCATTCAAAAAATTCTGCTGGGATGACCTAGCTGTTTTGGGTAAAATGAATCAGCTGTTCCATCACCACTCCCCCCTGTCATCTGCCCTCCTGCCAATAGTTTCTTCCAACCTGGTAGTGCTACCACAGGACAAAGGGGGGAGGGGAGGTGTTTTGTTTAACCCTCTAAGCACCACGCCCCACAGAGGGTAGGAGTCCTGAACCCCGCCCCCCCATTCCTCATGCTTTCCTGTTCTTCCTGCTGTCCCCTTTCCAACTCTCCAACTTCGGGGGACAGAAACTCTCAAACTTGGTCCCTGGTGCACTGTCCAGCCACAGGTCCTTCCCCCCCGGCTATGAGAGGCAGAGTGGGGTGAAGGCACTCCTCTTGAGATTTGCTGGTCTTTCTTCCTCCCCCTCTTCGGGCCAACTACTGCAAACAACCAGGAAGTCTGTCCTTCCAGCCTGCCGCAGTAGCAGGCCAGAGGGCCGCTCCTTGTCCTCCAGGTGGGGCAACTTAGACACTGCAGGGACTGGCCATGTGCTCCTCTTCACAGCAACCCCACCCCACCAGCGCTGCACTCCGAGGCCAGCCAGAAGGGAGCCAACAGTTGAAATGGAGGAATCTGGATGTGATGTGGGGGTCCCTAGCGCACTCTGGGCCATCTAGGAGAGGGGGTCCTGGGACTGAGGGCACCCCAGCCTTCTCTGGCTTCTACTGGGAAGCTCAACCTTCTCTGAGCAGGTAGAGCTTCTTCGGAACCTGGAACCCATCTCCCTGTTCCTCCACCCTCCACACTCTCTCCCCCTGGCCTCCTGATCTGTGTCTTCTCCAGCTGTAGGCACTTTGAGATCCTTTGGGTTTAGAAAGGGTGAAACCATTCTTCCTAGGGGGTGGGGTGTTCATTAGTGCAGGGGTTAGTGGGGGAGGGGGAGGCTGTGACGGTGGGATGAAAGTTAGATACCATCCCCCTGCTGAGATGTGGGGCAGGCACTGGCTTGAGGGCACCTGGACGCCAGGGAACTGCCTTTATGCAAAGAGGGACTTTCTCGGCCATTACTCTGTATGTGTGGTTCCGTGTGGGAGCCATTGAGATGGACCAGAAATGGAAACAAAGGCACACACACACACACACACTAAGGAGGTTTCTCCCTCCAGGAGCGAGGGACCGCACCTCCCAGCACTCGGCAGACTGATGGACAAGAGCTCTCTGGGGTGCGTGTACAGTCAGATTTGGGACCTCAGCAGTCAGGAAGGAATGTGGAGACAGGCCTGAGAAGGACAGGAGGAGAGGACAGCAAGGGGCTGTTAGACCGGTAGGACAGGACAGAGTGCAGGCCAAAGATGAAAAAGGAAGCGAGGCAAAGAGACACAGAGAGAGGGAGAAAGAAAATGAAGGAGAGACACAGGGCCAAAGAGAAGCATCCAAAAGCTACCCAGGACACGAACCCGTGGAATGCAAAGGGCAGACAGCTGGGGGTGGAGACAGAGGGTGCCAGAGTTTTGGTTATAAAGCAGTTTAATACAGACTTATTTCCAAGACTTGTTTTCCATGAAACAATCAAAAAAATACTTCACAGAAGTAGTCGCTTAAGGCTCTGTGGGGATAAGGGCTCTCCTGGACCCCAGGAGTTGAGGGGTGGGGATGGGGTCCCAGGCTTCCCTGATGTCAGTGGGAGGCGGCTGAAGGGGATGGCACACAGGATGGGGGAAGGGAGCAGTGGGAGACCGGCCTGGGCCCTGAAGAGGGTGACAGGCAACGAGTCACAGGTGGGTGGGTGAGTCACAGGTGAAGAGCCCAAGGTGGTCAGTGGTGGGGCTGGGGTCACAGGGTGAGGATTTCAGAAACAGGGAGAGGGTCACAGGGTGGGGGTCACGGAGTTGCTAGGCCACAGGGTGAGGAATTAGAGAGCTGCGTGGGAGTCGCATGGTGGGGTATCCAAGACCGGAAACCACAGGCGGAGGTGGTAGGAGAATGAAGACAAAGGACAGGGGCGTCTGGGGCAAGGGTGGGTTAAAGGCCTACAGGTCAGGTGACCCAGAGCTGCAGAGGGAGGAGAAGGGGCAGGAGAAACAGGCAGGCTGAGCCTTGGGCAAAGTTACCTGATGAAGGGGCCACGGCCACTCCACCGCGGCTGGCGCTGTCAGTGGGCAGCACCGGCTGGGCCCGCACTGAGGTCCCTGCGGGGACAGTTCTTCCAGAATCCTCTTCGGAGGGGGCCTCCAGCTCCTTGGTTCCCTCAGGGGCCCGTGTGGCTGGAAGCAGAGCAGGGGCATCCTCGGAGCTCCCTGTCTCCTCATTTTCTCCTCGAGGGACCCCAGACAGCTCAGGACCCCCAGTCTCCTCCCCCACCTCTCTCGCCCCAACTGGAGTGGAAGGTGGTGGGGATGCCAGGTTCCCCTCCCTGGGAGTGGGCAGAGTCTCAGTGGGTGGTCCTAGGACCCTTGGAGGCCTGGGAGCCTCCGGCTCCCCATTGGGAGGTGATGATGCACCAGGCTGCAGGACTGCTCTCGCAGACGGAGATGCGGGGGACAGTGACTCCTCCAGGGCCAGGTCAGTGGGAAGAGAGGCCTCTGGGTCCAGGCTGCTGAGCTCGCTGGGCCAGGCCCACAGGGCCTCATCCTCTTCCTCCTCCTCCTCTTCCTCTTCCTCATCTTTGTATTTGTCTTCTTCCTCTTCCAGAGCCTTGCCTTCCTCTTCTGAGGACTCCACGGGAGGCACAATGGATTGGGTTTCGAGTTCTAGGCAAAGCACAGACGGTTCAGCACCAGGGACAGCTCCCGCCAGAGGCGAGAAGCGGGAGGGAGAGAAAGGCGGGCTGGGGAGGGTGAGGCCTGGGGGAGAGGGGAGAGCCTGCAGTGGGCGGGGGCTGTCTTTGCCCCACACCGGAAGAGTTTCACCTGGAGATGCAGTTGAGAAGGCTCTGTGAGCCGTCATTAGCCCAGGAAAACATGGTCCTTACATCTCCCTCTCGTAGTCTGTTAAAATCCTCTAGTCTTGTTCTGGGTATGTGAGGGGAAGGAGAAACCAAAGAAAAAAGGCCTGCTTCCCAGGGGGCAGCTCCTTAGTCCAAGTTGGAAGTGGAATTTGCCGGAAAGGCAAAGATTGGGAGAGGGACAGGAGAGACGCCTTGGACCACTAAACTTGGACTGACGAAAGGACAGGGCAGCTGTGCTGCCATAACCCCACCATCAAGCTGGGCTTTTGCTCCAACCTCCCAGGTGCAGACTCGAGGGATTCAAGTTACCTAGGAGGGTCCTCGGGGCCTCTGCTGGGTCCTCTGGAGTGGAACTTCCACCGCCTCCATCCTCCATGATGGGAATGGAGTAGATGGCGCCTCGGGACTCACTCTCCACAGTTTCCTGAGGCAGCTGCAGTTCCTCCAGGGTCTCTGTCACGGTGACAATGGCCTCCAGTCCATCAGAGGCTGGGTTGGAGTCCTCAGGGATGGTGGAAGGCTGAGCTGAGTCTGTGGCAGGAGGAAGGTGCCAATGGGGATCAAATAGGTGGCTCTGCCCTCCCAGGTCATGGCCAGCATGCGAGGGTGCTGGGTGCATGGGTCCTCCCTGTGGAGCACCCATGAGGCCCTGGGAGCACCTTATGACTTCATCAGTCGTTCCTCAGGCATGAATCGAATGCCCACTACGTGTCATGCCAAGCACTGTGCAGGGCACTGAGGATACAGTGGAGAGAAAAACAGCAAGTTTCCTGCCCTCAAAAGAGTTTATATTCTAGGTACAGGTAATAAACAAATAAATATATGATAATGTTACCATATAAAGAACAATTAGGCAGAGTAAGGAGACGGGATGGGAAGCACTGCTTTGGATAGAATGGTAAGGAAAGGCTCAGGGGAGAGGTTGTCCCTTGAGTAAGGACATGGAGCAGGATAGACAGAATGGCCTCAGCACCTTGGGCTTGAGGCGAGGTGCTAGGGATTTCAGTCATCCCAAGACTTTTGAAATGGAAGGGGACAGGATGCCATCACCACAGGAGAGTCGAAGGGCACACAGTTACCACCTGAGGATCTCAGTGCTGAGGCAAAAGGGCAAAGGAAGGGGCCACCCCATTCTTCTGGGGTCTGCTCCCTTCTAGGAAGCAGAGTTTTCGAATGGATTACCTCGTCTCTAGGGAAGTAAACCAAGAGCAGAAAACCAATGAAGTGAAGGTGGAATTGGGCTAAGAAGAGCCCTGAGGGCCATCTGTGCTCAGCCAGATGAGACAGGACAGCATGTCCTGTTTTGTCACCTGCTCCGGTGAGCCTTGCTAATGCAAGAGAAGCAAACCTGTGTCCTTGCCTGCCTCTGCTCTCTACTTGCTCCCAACCATAGTCATCCTCTCCTAGCCCCCATCTTCCTGATTCAGTTCCTCCTTCCATTTCTCCCCAGAACAGTGCTTGGCACATACTCATAATTAGGGCATGGAAATGTTAGCTATGATCATGATGGTGATGGTGACAATGGTGGTGATGATGGTGATGGTGACAATGGTGATGATGATGGTGATGATGGTGACGATGATGATGGTGGTGACAATGGTAATGATGATAATGACAATGATGGTGGTGACAATGGTGATGATGGTGATGGTGGTGATGATGATGGTGGTGACAATGGTGATGATGGTGATGATGGTGACGATGATGATGGTGGTGATGATGACGATGGTGATGATGAGGATAGTGATGACGGTGATGATAGTGATGGTCATCTCTGTTCCTGGAAGCCTTTTCAGATGGATCTTTCTTCCTATACCTCACTTCCCCACTCCCCCCCAGCCCGAGGCCGAAGATGCCTGGAGGTCTGTGCAGCGGGAGTAATGCTTTTCACTCAGTTCCTGCTCATGCTGGGAGCAAGGTGTCTTGTCTTCCCTCAGATTGAGCCCCATGTCTTCCCCCTTCAGACTAGGGGCCCTGAGGGTAAAGGCTGCATCTTCTCCCATTTCTTCCTTCAGCCCTTGTTCCAGTACTACAGGCTTACAGTTGGGGCACGGACCCAGATACCCCATGGCAATGCCTCCCTGACTGTTAGTCACCCTTAGCCCTGTGCCTCTGGAGGGTCCCGGGCACTGCCTGCCTCCAGCCCCCAATATAAGATGTGGGCAGGAAGCCACCTCTCCACCCAACTGTCCTTGAGGACCTGCTCCCTGTAGGGGGACTTGCATCTTTCCATCAGTATTTGGTGGTTAAAGATCTGACACTTTCAAGCTGAAGATTGTGGAAAGCCCTCTGAGGGAGGGCTCTTGAGGCATTTGGTTAACTGGAGGAGATCCTTCGTTGCATTCAGAGAATGTTGGTCATCTCTGCTCCGTTAATGAGCTGACCAGAAATGGAAACATACTTGGCAGCCCAACATGGGAGAGGCAGCTTTGAAACTGGAAGAGACAAGGAACGGACCACTGATGTGGAGGCAGGTGAGGAGAGGTGAGCCCTCCTTGAGGCCACACAGCCAAGCCAGAGGACCTGACCAGAGTTGGAACCCTAGGTGACAAGCTGAGAGTCCCCCTCGCCTCCTAACTTCAGGCATGTGGCAAAGACCTGGCAGGAGCTGCTCAGAGCTGGGGTCAGACCTCAGGGCTCCTTGCCTTTGTGAGGTCAGTCTCAGCCTCTGCAGGGAGGCGGCTCACCTCGGAAGCAGTAGACGTTGAAGCGGCTGTGCTTATTGGGGAAGCCGGTCTGGTTTGGGAAGAGGAAGAGAGTCTTGACACCAGGCAGGCCCCCACCACAGCGCTGGCTGGGTGTGACGATGGGGTAGCGCACACTGCCATCGGCCAGCCAGCCTGGGCTGCAGCGGTCCAAGCCGCCATCCCAGGCGGCGTACAGCTGACCCGTGGTGGCGATCTCTGCACCCCGCTCCCGGCAGTATGCCTGGGCCTCCTCCAACGTCAGCTTGTCTGGGGGGGCACCCAGGAACAGCTCTCCTGATAAGGAAGAGAAGGCTGGGTCACCAGAAAGTCGGTAGCCTCTGTCATCCTGGGCTCCCACAGGGACCTTCTAAGCCTCAGGGTCCTCTGTGACATGGAGTCAGCTACCCTACTTCATAGGCTCAAAGTCTGGATAGAACCTCAGGATGGGTAATATTGCTCAGAGAAACCTGGCCCAACTTCCTCATGCTGCAAAGAAGGAAACTGAGGCCCAGAGATGCTAAGAGGTAGAGAGATGCACAGGAGCTAGCAGCAAGAGTCCAAACACAAACTCAGTCTCCTACCACCTGTCTGAGGTTATGGCCATGAACTTGCCTCTATGACAGCATTTAGAGGGCAGGACACTGATAGTTTCCTTACTCCTGGCTGCCCCCTTAAGCCCATGAGAAGCAATAAGGTCCAGCAGAGGCTCCAGGAGGACTGGTGGGCAGCACTGGAGAAGGGGCTTGTCCCCTGGGAGCCCCTCACCCCCAATCACCATTCAGGTCTTCAGCATAGCAGTAGACATCATAGAGGTCATCCGGGTCCACTACTCCATAGTTCCGAACCCCAGGGAAGCCATCCATGTCTCCGTAACAGGCCTCTCGTGGTGTCTGGATGGGATACCTGGGGACGGAGCACAGATGCCTTCACCAGGGAGCCTTCCCATGGTGACCCTCCCAAATCACATTGCCTTTCCAACCCCAGCCCACCTCACGGTCTGGTCGGACAGCCAGCCAGCATCGCACTGTTCGTAGCCCCCCAGGTAGGCTGCGTAGAGCTGCTCCGGAGTGGCGATGCGGGCTCCTATGTGGGCGCAGGCCTCCTGGGCCCCAGTGAAGGAGAAGGCATAGCGGGCAGAGCCCTTTCGGTAGAGAAAGACGACCCCTAAGGGGAAGGAACGACTCCTGAGCACGATCTCCCTGCACACTGACCTCTCCTCCCCCTCCTGTCACTCCTCTGTCCACAACGGGTAAAGTCCAAATTGTGCTCACTCTACAGCATGAGGGGCTTAAGTTAGACTATAGGTAGACTTCCTTCCACCTGAAGAACGGAGGTAACAAAGACCTATGTCTGTCACTCCTTTTCCACCTCAGTCTGTGCCTCCCAGTGTGTTTGCTTTTTCCTCAGGCTGTGGGCTCCCTGAGGGCTGGAGTCCTCTCAGCTCTCTCTCCAGACACCTCTCTGTCCCTATCCTCTCACCTTTCACTTTGACCTCCACAGCGTCGCTGCTGTCATCTATGCCATGCTGGACCTCACAGCGGTAGATGCCTGAGTCATTGGGCCGAAGCTCGCTCAGCACCAGGGAGACATCGGTGAGTGACGCTGGGTAGGCCGGCAGCGCCACGCGGAACCGGTAGGCCTCGCTCACCTTGACGCGCAGCCCCCGTGCGACCAGCACCTCAGCCTCCCGGCCCCCAGACAGGAAGGTCCACTTCACCCGCGGGGAGCCCAGAGCGGCCCTCCGGTTCTGCAGCGGCCGCAGGTAGTGAAGGTGGCACGGGATGGTGAGAGCGCCGCCCAACACGCCCTGCAGGGGGGCTGCACCCGCAATGTGCACGCGGAAGGCGCGGTCCTCTGTGGGCGGGCGGGGCCGGCAGGAATTTCAGTTCCCTGGGCTGCGCACCCACCCCAGGGGTTTCCAAGCCCTGCCCCAGGGTCCCTCCTGTCTCGCCCCACCCCGCCCGCCCCAGGATGGCCTGGTGCCCTTGGGTTTTCCTAACCCTGCCCCAAGAACCTGTGCCCGACCCCCAGGGTCCTGCAAAACCACCTCTAGGTCCCCAGACCCGTCCCCAAAGTCCCCCAGTCAATTCCATCCCCAGAGGCGCCCAGTACCACCCCAGGATTTCTGGGCCCCAACTAGGGTCTTCTAACCCTGCCCTCTGCATCCTACAGCCCAGTGCTCAAAATTTCTCAGGATTTCTCCAAACTCTACCTCTGTTCTGCCTCCCAGCCCCTCATCCTGTTCCCAGGTTTCCCCAATCCTCCACCTTAGAGGTTGGCAGCCTTGCACCTCGTGTTCCTCCCCAGGCAACCCCAAGTTTCCACACCCTACAAGAGGCCCACAACTCATCCCTTATCCCCAAGTGTCCCAGCCCAGACTCTCCCCACGGGTCCCCCCAATTCTATCTCCTCTTCTCTGGGTCCCCAAAGGCTAGGCTAGAAGAGATTGGTTAGGGCCCCACAAGAGGCCACTCCATACCATAGGAGAGATGCAGGAGACAGAGGAAGTGACCCTGAGGGGGGCTGCTTACCTGAGCTGTCCCTTTCCAGAGCATCAGCTAAGGCCTCAGGGACCCGGGCCAGGACCAGAGCTGCCAGCAGAGGCAGGAACAGTGGGGCCATGCTGCAGGCTGATGGGGGGACTTGAAGAGAAAAGATGGGGTTAGACCTCAGGAGGGACTTCCCCTGGCTCCCGACCACATCCGCATGGACTCACACATATCCTGGCCCCAGAAGCCCACTGCCCCGACCTCACCATTAACCCTCTGTTTTTAATCCGTGTTTCCCCACCAAAGGAGTCTTCTTCAGAGCCAAGACCTTGGTCCTAGTCAACTTGCTGTGTGACTTAGGGCAAGCTCCTTACCTTCTCTGGGCCTTTGTTTTCTTACTTGTAAAAGAGCACTATGATTACCGCCTCACAGGCTGTGATGAGGCTATGTGCTTTGAGAGTGTTTTATATCCTAAAAAATCCTGTACAAATGCACAGCACCCAGCACACAGTAGGAGCTCGATAAATGCTTACAGCACGTAGCATGGATGGTGGGTGCCATTATACTTAGCGTTCCCTCTGCCCCTCCCAGTGCCAGACTCCTCGGTTAAACCCAGAGCCTCCTCGTCCCACAGTACCCATCCAACCTTTCCTTCTTGTCCCTTCCTCCCTGAGTGCCTTACCCAGCTGGCCTCCTCCAGGAGGGTCTCCTAGACTGCACCTGGGCAATTCACAGCTTCTCTCCAGCCCAGCCCCTCCCCACCATTACTTATAAGGAAACTCTTCTCTTTACCCCCCAGCATCCTGCACCCCCCTCCTTGGCTGCCTTCTCCTTTTTTCCTCCCAGCCTTTCCTTTCTGCCTGGCACGGGTTTTCCCACCGGATCTCCTGGCTCAGAAACCAGCTGGGACAAAGCTCCTGTCTCTGCCAGTCTGGCCCCCATCCAGCCTCTCCCTTCCCCAACCCCAGTCCTGGGCTGGGGGATGGGCTGGGGGGGGTGAGAATAAATGGGAGGGGCCATCTCCCTCCTGCCCTTGGCTATCAGAAGTGCTGTGAGAACCCAGAATATTCCCCTGAAGATCTCAAAGCACTTATACTCTCCTAATGGAGAGATGGGGCTGCGGCATTGAGAAACGGGGGGCCCAGAGAGGGGTAGGGCTCAGTGTGAGTCCCCAGTGAAGCCAAGTCAGGCACCAGGCCAATACGCCCCCAGGAGGAAAGGCTGCAGCGTTAGCGCCCCAACGTCATCTTTAAGGGTTGGGCTAGACTTAGGAGGCCATGGGGACCCAAGTGTGCCATGGAACAGACCAATAGTGCAGCAGGAGAGATGAAGATTAGACTGCAGGCAAGACTTCCTAGAGATCAGGCTTATTCCCGCTAGCTACTCGTTGCCATTTCAGGCCCACTCAGGCCCAGCCTTGGTTCATGTGCCCCCTTTCCTGAGCCTGAGCTGATAGGAAATTCCCCTCTTCTCCCAAGTCCTCCCGGGGAGCCCCCTCACCATTGTGACCCTCCCTGCCCCCCCATACTGTGGGCTGGGATTGTTTCCTTAGGGTCAAAGTTGGGTGAGGAGTGGCAGAGACCAGATACCCAGGGCATCTCTCCGACCTTTGATGAAACCAGATCAGAGGTGCCAAGACCAGCTCTGGGCATGGGGGCACCTGGGAGAGCCATTTTCTGGGGTTGGAGGGGACCATTGGCATAAGCAGCCAGTGCCTGTGGGTGCTGGGGGAACTTTTGCCCATGCATTTGAACGATGCCGGCTCCCGGACCAGGCCCCTCCCTGGTGCCCTCTGTCTGGGCTGGAGCTGCTCACAGACTTGGCTCCCAGCTCTCTGACCGGTGGCCCAGAAACCCATATAGTTGGAGCCACTCTGGGACCAACACCCTGGACCCCCCTTTCACCTCTGTTCTGAAGTGGGGAAATGAAGCAGGCGGTCCGAGGCTGAGGACCTGGCCGCCCTGGAACATGGTGGGTATCCCACCCCCACCTCCAGGAATGGGAGTCACTGACCAGAGAGGTCAAGAGAGTGGCCCTGATTGTATGGGTCTCACAGTCACAGAGCTCTGCCAGCCCCACGCCACCCACCAATCACAAAGCTTGGGCCTTACCCCCTTCCTGGTATAGCTAGGAGTCCTGAGAAAACTTAGGCATCCCTCATCCGGCACCAGACTCAGACCCAGGGGTCCATCGCACACACGCCCACCCACACTCCACCTTCCTTCCTGTCCTCCAGAGCAGGACATGCCACTCTGTTCCTAACCTTGAGAGCTCAGCCGTCTTCCTGTCCCTTACGCTATGCCACACCATCCCTCTCTCTCTCCAGCTCTCTCCTTCCTGCTCTAGTGTCTGGGTTTCTGCCTTTGTCTTGCGTTTCCTGAGCTGTTCAGGAAACTTCCCCCTTGTTCCATGGTCGTTCCTGTCCTACCATGGCCATCCAGGTCCCGCACAGGCTTCATGGATCCAATCCACACAGAACACAGAGACCAGGCCGTGTGTGTGTGCGCGCGCGCGCGCGCGTGTGCGTGCACATGCACATATGTGCACACACCCAACACCCACCATCTCCATTCTGAACGCCCACCAGTTGGCATCCAAAGTGTGCCCTGTAGGAACCAAGCTCCAGCGCTCAGCAGGGTCAGCAGGCCAGAGCTCAAGTCCCAACAGGAGGGAAGCTCTCAGCTGTCCCCGAGTGGCTGTGAGCAGCAGCAAGAGGCCACACAAGGCAGCCAGGCCTTTACAAGGCCGGCAGGAGCAACTGCAGTGGTGGTATAAATAGTCCTATTTACTGGAAGCACAACTAATGATACTATTAGCAACATCACCAGCGGAGCTATTGTAGCTGCTCTGATGATAACGTCTGAAACGGGGGTGCTGCTGCTCTCAGTGGCGGTTAGCTGTGACAACACCGGCACTGGTAATACTGTGGCGGGTCTACTGGTCCTCACCTTACTGGTGTTGTCTGGAATAGAAGTAATGCAGAAATTAATGTGATAACAAAACTGATGGCAAATCTCTCGTCTTGTTAGGACCATGTGGGCAGAGCTATTCCGACAGGAAGAGGAGGGTATGGAAGCACCAGGGGGAGGGGCTTCCCAGCCCAGGGTAGTTCTAGGAAGGAAGGCAGGGGTGGTACCTTACGGAGCCAGGCCCCTTTTGAAATGCCTCCCGGCTATAACCTCAGCTCTGAGAAAAATGCTGTTTAGGCGTTACACTGATGAAGAACCCAACGTTCAGGGAGGTCAACTAATTCGGCCAAGGTCACACAGCAAGTCAGTGGCGAGTGGGATTCTAGCTCCAGTGGGCGCCAGGACCACCCACCCGCTCCAGCGGCTCCTATCGGCTGTCCTGCGGGCCACGCGAGGTGTCCCTGGAGGATGGGGTGCTCGCCTCGGATCCTCCCGGGGTGCTGCCCGCCCGGCGCACGGAGTCGGGGCTGACTCCGACCGCCGCCGCCCTGCCCCTGACAAGGGCGGCGAGGGAGCGTGCAGCAGGAGGACGCGAGGACCCGGAGGGGCGTTCCCATTCGCCCGGAGACTCCGAGGGGGCTGCTGGCAGCAGCGGGGTGCCAGCCGCAGAGAAGGACGTGGCAGCAGGGGCCGTAGGCGCCCGGGGCTGGCCCGCCGCGGACCTCCCTCGGGCGTCAGGGGTCGGCGGGTTGGGTGCGCCGGAGCCCGGGAGGCAAGGGCTGCGGGATGGGGGGCGCGGACCACGCAGCGGCGGGCGCTCCCTTCTCTCTCCCTCCCAGGTCCCGGCGGCCGGGCTGCGGTGACGCTCACCTACCGGCTGGCGGCCGAGGGCCTGGGTGGGGGTGCGGCACCGGGAAGTTTGTCTCCTGCTGCGCGGGTCTCTGCCGGGTCCACGGCTCGGTCTTGCAGCTGCAGCCGAGACTGCGGCGGGGACTGCGCGGGTGCACGGAGAGGTTGGGCCCGCAGGATGCTCGGAAGAGGGCGCCGGGCCCGGCGCCGCACAAAACCCCCTTTCTTCCCCCCGCCCCCGCCCCGCCCTTCCCGGGGGCTGCTCCCGCCCCCTGGCCGGGAACGCGGGGGGCTCGGGAAGGTCACGAGACCCGCTGCCTTCTCTGCGTCGGTTCCCGGTGGCAGTTGCGAGAGCAAGGACGAGCGAAGTAGGACATCCTTCTGGGGATGAGAAGCCGACGACTTGGAGTAGGGCGGGAGGGCAGGCGGGGCGGGGCGGGAGCGCTCGCCAAGCTAGAGGATGATGTTGCAGCTGGAGGGATGGAAGTTAGACAGTTGGAGGGACTTCCCGTTGGCCAAGGGGAGAGGAGGAGGCGCTGAGACTTAGACAGTAGGGAAAAGGATTAAGAGAGAAAAGGAGGCTTTGCTCCTAGAGAGACACGGCACACACATAAAAATGGGGGAGGGACACTCTTTTTTGGAGGCAGGGTGAGGTGCAGATGACCCTATCAACCTCCCTGGATGAAGCTCTTGCTGGGTTTTGTCTCCTGCAGAGCTCCCACTCTCAGCACAGAGGAGCTGACTTTGCAGGGATGAGGTTAAACAGCAGACTCAGGGGTTAAGCAAAGCAAGTCGGGAGCTCTCTAGACCTGGTCGGGGGAGGAGTGGCACTGTGAACGGACATTACTGCTCATGCAAACCAATGTGCAAAACGCAGGCGTTGCTGGGAGCCCAGAGGGCCCGTTGGCCAGGGCTGTGGAAGATGAATGTGCAGCCTGGTGCCAGGGGGTGGGCCTCCAGTGCTGCCCAGCCGTTGGGGACTCCTCAGTGCCCAGAATACCAATGACACCCCCTCCCCAGCTCCAGAGTCTGTGCTTCCCTCTTCTTTCCCAGGCTCTCTTTCCCCTCCCTCCCTCCTCTCAGGGACTCCAGGCAAAGCCCCTGGCACAGACTGTGGGGAGGACAGCCAGACGCCTGGATTCTGTCCCCTGGATTCTGATACCAGTGGTGGCATCAAGGAGAGCTTGTCCAAGGCTTGGATGTCTGTCCCCTGCAGCAGCACGCCCCAAATATCCCAAGTAAAGTGAGGTGCCTGCAATACAAATGCAGCCTCCGGGCAGGTTTCTGTCCTCCCATCTCCCGGCAGGCAGCCGAGTCCCTCCTGTATGGGAATTCTGGACTGCCCTCTGCTGGTTGCCCCAACCGCTCCACTCCCCCGGCCTGGGCTTCCTCTCCCACTGCTGCAGAGGGCTCCAAAGGGCTTTGAGAAGCTCACAGAAAAAAACGCCTCCCCCAATCCTTCAGCATCCAAAGGTGGGATTCTGGCCCCTCCCCAGAGACCCATCTGCTGTAGACACAGGACAGGAAGATGTTGGGGTGCAGGGTGGTATAGTCCGTCCCTCAGTAAGAGAAATATCCCAGGCAGGGATGTGAGACCGAAGGGGATGGAGCAAGGTGCCTGGGACAGTGTGGGGGAAAAGAGACCTCGGTTTACTCATTTCATTAAACAAATATTAACTGGGTTCCACTGAGGACCAGGCACTATTGTAGGCCTTCGGACTGCTGTCCCAAGTCCTCTAGTGGAGAGGAGGATCTGAGAAGGCCTTTGGGGACAGATCTCCCTTTGCTCCCCTCAGACCTGGCATCCTCCAGCTGAAAGACAAGTCCCCTCCTCCAGGACAGGCTCAGCATGGGCCATGCATGCAGCCTGCGCCCACACGGCCCTTCTCCATAGGGGCTCAATAGGGCCAGGCAACCAAGTGGCTGAAATTCAATCCCAGTGGGGCTTGCACCTAAGCTCAGTTCTTGCCTCTGGAATACTTGGCTGTGACCTGGGAAGACAGAGAAAGCGACCTTCCTCGCCACCTTCCCTCATGACTAGAAGTGTGGGCGCACATTTTGGTGCCCTGGGGGAGTCTGACCTTGACCAAGGCGAGCAGCTTCTGGGTCTGGACAAGGGCTGGTACCAGACAGTCTGTTCCAAGAGGCAGACCCCTGGTGAGAGAGCAGACACGGTGAGAGAACAGACAGCGGCTGCTGTGAAGATGGTGCTTAGAGCCAGGACTCAGGAGGTCAGGCTCCTGTTTTGCTGTTTGCAGTGGCAAAGCCATGGGAAGGTCTTGGTTTCTCTGACACTGTTTCCTCTTCTGTACAACAGGCTGAGTAGCAGATGCTGCCCTGGGTGATGTCTACCACCCTGGGTGACACCCACTGAGGTGGGTGACATTTACTGCACTGGGTGTCATCTGCTGCACTTGGGTAACACCTACTGTCTTGGGTGACATCTCCTGCACTTGGGCTGAGTAAGGGGAGCACCTGGCCCATGGCATGGACTCAGCAAAATCTAGTTCTTTTTCTTTCACACACACACACACACACACACACACACACACACACACACACACACACACACTATCCACCAGGTCTGCCTGCCAGGAGGTCCGTGGCTACTCCCCTGTGGGTGGGATGGAGGGCTCGGTGTTTCAGAGGGGAGCATTTCCCAGCGGAGGAATGAACACGTCCCCAAGACTTCGTGGACATTGCCAGCTGTGAAACGTCACCCTGAGGTCTAACTGCACTTTGAACTGGCAGCCGCTGCTCAGGGACTTCTTCAATGGCATCTTGATGGTCATGTGACACCCCTCCCCCCATTTCTATTCGCTTTCTGAGCAGAGGCGAGAAACAAGACCTTCTCTGTGGGTCTCAGAAAGGGACCCTTGGGATGAGCTGAAAGCAGACAGGATCAATGAAAGCAGGAAAAAAAGGCACGTCAGATTTCAAGTAGAACCGCCTGCCCCAGTAACAGGAGGAGAACGTCTCAGGTAACCTGAGGTATCTTCTGGACAAAGAAACAGACCCGAAGAGGTGAAGCGACTGTCTAGGGTCACACAGCAGGTAATTGACTGACCATGACCAAAACCAAGTCTCCTGCCTCCCCAGGCCAGGGTCTTGCCAGGGTGCCCAGCTGTCTCTCTCAGGGGACAGGATGTCAGGGAGGTGGAGAGAAGACGGAGGGAGAGTGGAGGCATCAACCCTCCCGCCCCACGCCCCACGTGCAGCCCAGCTGGCTCGCCTCCCAGCCTCCTGGCGCTGGGGAGTTTTCCAGTCTCAGGACAATCAATCTGCCTCTCCCCTTCGGGCTGAGGTCACGAGCCAAGTTGAGGAAACAGAATCTCCCCTCCGAGTTCTCGGCTCCCACGTGCCCCCACCCCCAGTGTCAGTCCTGGGACTTCCTCACCGGATTCCCAACCACAGTGGCCGCTGGGACAGCCTGTCCTTCCAGCCCCTGAACACCTGCCCCCACTGTCCCAGACTTGGGGGTGGGGCCCAGGCAGCTTGGTTCCTCTCTGAGGCCCTGCACATCACACAGGCACCTGGGTCCTATGCCATGGGGACGTGCAAGTGGGGCTGCAGGGGGGACGGAGGCGGAGCTGAACGCTGGCACAGCTGTGTTCAGAGAATGGGGCTTTGATAGCTTCTGAAAGGGGCCAGGAAGCGGGGCCCCCCAGCCCAGGCAGGGGAGAGGCCAGGAATGGCTGGGTATGGCTCTGAGGGCTCCTGCAGCTGAGCGTGCGTGGGGGGTGGGAGGAGATGTGGGGGTGGGCAGACAGCAGTGGGACTTACAGGCTGATGACACGTGGGGGAGCCCCTGCTGCACGGAACAGGAGCCAGTGGTCCCACTGAGCTGACAGACCCCTGCATTGAGGGGTGCAAATTCTTGTGTTCCGAGACCACCAGCCTGTTACACGAAGAACAGCCCAAGGTACTGGAAGCCTGGACACTGAGTATAACTAAACCGACTTCCTGAGAAAAAGTCCGTCCCCTCAGGCGCCCTGCAGCCCTGTCCCTCCTCCAGATGGGGAAGGCCACTCCCTCACTCTTCTGTGATGCTGGGCCAGCTACTAAGCCCTCTGAGCCTCTGTGTCCTCTCCTGTAAAATGGTCCTAGCACTGTGTTCTGTGGGTCGGATGTGGGAGCCAAGTGAATGTTTTAGAGAATTAAAACACAAAATTAAATCGGAAAGAATTAATTTTAAATTAAAAAGAAGAAAAGCGTTTCATTTCCTAAAAACCTCCAACAAACGTAAACAAACGCACCTCACTGTGTACGAAGTTGGAGGCAAAGCCATGCAGAAGAATTTTCTTTCAAGAGATTAGAAAACTCAGCATTTTGATTGCACATTTCTAAGAGCAAAAGGTCCACGGAGAAACCTTAATGTTGACGTTACTGGTTTGAGAAGCGTTATTTATTGTGATAAAGCAAATAATGATAGTAACGGTATCAGGAACTAAGATTTTTAGTGGAAGAAAAGGAAAGTGAAGTAAAAACTGCTAACCTTTCATCTGAATAAGACATAGTAGCATGAACTCATGATTTGTAGCTGTGTCTTCATCGCCAGTTTACTGGCAAGGCTTAGAAGCAGTGACAATGTAGTAACAATGAGTACTCCTCGCGTCCAGATAGTAGTCTTTACACAGTACTTTCCCCTAAAAGGAACGAGGATTCTGGAGAAATTCCAGGCCTGGGACAGCTTTTCATACTTGAGAATAAGGAAGTTATGACACTCAGGTCAAGTTCATGTCAAAAGGACCCAGGAGCCAACTTGAGAGGACTCCCACTGGCCACAGCATTAAAATTAATAACAACTGTAAGAGATGGAAACATGTCAAATATATATATATATATATATATATATATATATATATGTATGTATATAATCCATGGGTTCCTAATGCTACTAAAAGATAATATCACTGGTCACCTCTGGACATGGATAGGGCACCAACCCACGACTGTGAAAATCAATAGGATATGGCAGAACCTGTAAGTGTCTGCCCACGTCCCCTTAGCAGTCACAAGCCAAAGGCAGCTGACTGCCTGAGGATTCTTTTCCGCCTGAGGAAGGACGCTTGGCCTAAGTGTGTGGCGAGTCGAAAAGATCCGAGGGTTAATGTCCCCGGAGCAGCCCTCAAACACAGGCCCCTCACCTCTCAGGCAGGAACAAGTGAGGCAGCGCCTCCAGTCTCTCAGAGCTCCCAGCTGCTTACAGCCCCAGCTGCCCGCAGTCATAACCTATTCGGTTATTCGGATTATTTACTCAGTTATTTATTGGATTCTTTCCTTTCCCTGTCTCACTTTCCAGATCTATTAAGATCTGGGAATTTTCAGGCCCACCAAGTCATGAGCACATGTGGGTGGGCACAGAGCAAACCCAATGGCACATTTGTGATTGGGTGTGAGTGTGTTCGGAGGGCACGAGTAAGCTGAGTGAGCAGGGAGCCCAGGCTCCCACATGACCTGTCTCTGCTGCACCCATGCCTCTCTCAGCTCACCCTATAGCTCTGTGGGGCTTCTCTGTGATCACGCTCCAGAGGGAAAAGCCCAGGCCTGGCTCACGGGTGGGTTACTTTCATACGCTGATGGGAGCCGAGCACGGACTGCTACCCATGACAGCCCCACTCAGGGGAGGCCCTGAAAGACAGTGGTGAGAGAGGAGCCTCCCAGTGGGCCCCCCCACGTTCCAGTGAGAGAGTGGACTTGAGAGAAGTGTATTCAAGGACTCGTGAATAGTGTCAAACGGCTTGCTTGGTTGGTCAGGGGCCAGGCAAGGCCAAGACTGGAAAGTTGGAGACAAGGAAGTCTGGAGAAGAGCTGGAGGGCTGGCGTCACAGCTGTGGGCATTGTGTCTTGTGAACACTCCCTGCAAAGGAGGCATTGAACAGCCAGGGGGACAGAAGAACGCCAGTGGATCACAGCCGGCCTTTGTCCTCCGCCAGGCCGGGGCTGGCACAATGGGCCCAGGAATGGAGCGGCTGTGGCAGTAGACATGGAGACCAGCAAGGGGTCCCTGTCACCAAGGCTGATCTAGCTACCGCCACTGCTGGACGGCTGGCCTGTCAGCAGCAGAGACTGACGCTGAGCCCTCGACATGGTCCCATGCCTCAAGGAGCCCAGGCAGCCACTGGGTAGCACGCTGATCACCAGGTACGTATTTCAGTCTGGAGGGCAGGGCAGTATCTCCTTAGTGGGGTTAATATTCTGGGCGTGGATTTGCCTTCCCGGCCCAAGTGCCTTGGGCAGCACCAATATCCAAGGACATACAGGAAACGGTTTATCCTCATGAGATCCCATATATAATATCTCCTCTACCCACGGGGATGCATCTCACAGTGAGGAAATGTGACGGTGGGCATATGACCACAGGCTCCATTGGCCCTACAGTACATATCACCCTGAAACTGCCAGCCTGCTAGTCCATTGGCACGGCCTCCTTACAGCACATCTAAATACCAGCTTGGGGAAGCACCCTCTGGGATCGGGTTACTGGCCTTCAAAATGCAGTATATATTTTAAACCAATGGCCACAATACGGTGCTGCATTCTGGACCGCTAGAAATCACTGGTCAGGAACCAGGGTATGGAAGTACAATAACCCTTACCATCAGTCTCCAGGGCCCTTGGGGAAATGTGTGCATGCTGTCCCTATAAGTTTAGGCTCTGCAGGATGAGAAGCCCTAGTGCCCAGGCTGGGAGATGTGTCCACCAGGCGTCACAGTAAGATTACTGCTAAAGATTACTGCTAAACCTAAGGCTACAGCATCCTCTGGGTCATTTGGGGGTGCCTCACGCCAACTGGCCAGTAGACCAAAGAGTTACCCCGGCAAAGACATTTGACCTTGATTATCCCACATCCAGTGGGACTCATGGACAGGCAGCTGCAGCAATGCTGGCCTGTCAAGGGCATGGTAATGAAAGGCTGAGGCCTTCAGGGATGAAGGTCTGGGTTTTTCCATTGTGAAAGCCCCAGAGACCATCAGAATGCACTGGAAAGGAGGGAGATGTTGACTATTGATTACACAGCCTTAGAACCAACTGCAGGAATGGTTACTGTGCTTTGTCCCACTAGCCCTCCCTGTTGTAAGACGTTTAAGGAATTAGAAATTGCCATCAGTCACCAGTTTAAAGAATCAGTGACAGGACCAAGTGAACTTAGCATGGGGCCAACCAATGGGTCTGAGTACTGCCCAGGGTGGGCGTACCTGTGACCCATAGCCTTCAGCACTCACCTCTGCAAGGAGAAGGCTCTTGGTGAACGTTTGTGACCCTGCCTGAGGGCTTTTTTCCTGGCTGTGGGGACATGTTTGTGCTCAGGGCTAGCCAGGAGTTCTAGAGACTTAATGCTTCCAGAAGCAGCCCTCAGATTTCCAATGGAAAGTCGACCGGTAACAGCCCAGTTCCTTTGCCCCACGGTGGGCTTCTCTGAGACAGGTCGGACACCATCTTCTAGACTCCCAGGCAGGACTGAGCCCAGCGATCACCGGTTCTGTTACACACCTTCCCTTGGCTTCCTTTCCTTTCCCGGCTCACTTCTCCACCCTGTGCCTCTGAGCATGACCTTCCAAACAGACTACTTGTACTCAAAGTCAATTCCACATCTGCTCTCAGGGAACCCTGTTGTCTTAGTTGGGGCTGCTGTAGCGAATTACCACAGGCGGGGGGCAGGAGAGAGGGTGTCTTAAACAGCAAGCATGTACTTCCCACAGTTCTGGAGGCCAGCAGCTCTGGTGTCTGGAGAGCAGGTTTCTCATTGTCTTCTCGCCTGGTGGGGAGCAGAGAGAGGAAGCAAGCGCTCCCGAGCCTCTTCTTTCTTTAACGATAGTCTTGCAAACCCTCTGGGAGACTGGCAGGACACAGACACGTTTTGAAATATGTTTAGGTCCCTTTTAGGTTTGTTCTGCGGTGCCCAGGGGGTAGGCCTGCGGGTTGGAACGCTGGGGTGGATTTGAAGTAAACTTAGGTGAGTGTGTGGCGCCCCCGCGTGGTGCCCGGCGCGACACTCTGGGTTCTCTGCTTCTATTCCTCGCCAGGCCGCCCACGGTGCCTCCGACGCTCCTCCGCCTTTCTGGTGCCCTCTCCTCGCCATCCCCCCCTCTCCTGCAGGCTCACCCCTCCGCGGCAGTAGCCGCTCCTCTCACGCTGTCTTCCCAGGCGCGCGTTCAGCACGCTGGGTCGGAGATCAACCCCCTCCCCCCCACACACGTCTCGTCCCCCTTACAGTTTCGCCCAACACAAAAACTCCCCAAGTTATTTTATTGCTGTGTACAGAAGTCAGTTAATGTCTCCTGGGTGCCCTCCCGCCCCCTCGCAGGGGCTGAATTGCCTGCTGGGGGCGCTGGCGCAGGGCTTTGATCCGCGGGTTTGAGGGTAGTAGCCGCACCCCGCCACCGGGGGCCCAACCACCTTCCCTCCCGACGCCCGGCCAGCGGGGATCCGCGGCCCACAGCCCTACCCCCTGGGCGCCGGGAAGGCGGGCCAGGAGTGGTGCTCCTCATCTGGTGGGAGGGGAGGCTCGCGGGGAAAAGGGCGGCGAGAGACCCCGGCCGCGACTCGCAGGCTTTGTCGCGCGCCCTGGAGGGGGTGCGATGGGCCCCTACTCCGAGTAGCAGTAGGTCCCGTAGGCCGCCTGCTGGGGCTGCGGGAAGCCGAAGCTGCGCACTCCGGGGTCGGGGAGGCCCCCGCAGCGCGGCCGCGGCGAGGTGATGGGGAAGCGCACGCTGCCGTCGGCCAGCCAGCCGCCGTCGCATTGGTCCAACCCCGAGAACTTCCAGGCGGCGTAGAGGTGCCCGACCTTGGCCACGCTGGCCCCGCGCCGCCGGCACGCCGCGTGGGCTTCAGACAGCGTCAGCCGCCCGGGCACGAAGAACACC